GCACGTCAGCTACCCCAGCCACATCTGATGCTAGCAAGTCAAGTCACCATAGTCTTACCACTCTTTCATCAGAGAGAGAGAGAGATAGACGACTGGTGGGGGTTTAACCTGATGGCCACCACACCTCAGGCGAGGGGAGAGGTTGAGAAGGAGAAGCCTTCACAGTGACCTCAGGCAGCGATAGGAATTGAACCCATGCTGTTGGCATCACGCTGCTTTGTAAACCAAACAGCCAGCTAACTGAGCTGAAGCAAACGCCCCCTAATGCTAGCAGAGAATTACTGGATAACAGTCAGGGGTGGAAAACGTACCCAGCGGGTTATTGACCTTATAACTGCCCCGGCCCAGGGAGAAAGAGACCAACTGGAGCATCGCTGTCTCCTCAGATCAGCTCAGCTCCTTTGGGTACAGCCCTGGATTTGGAATGAACAGCTGCATCTGCAGAGTTTGGGGCGGGGGGGGTGGGGTGTGCCTGAGGTTTGCGTCCCTGACTCACAGGAACACGAGGGTCATTTCACCTCCCACGGGCATGCGTCAAAATACTTCCTCTCCGATACAGGTGAACTAAACAAAAAACAAAACGCAGATCGTTGAGCTGTAATCAAGTAGCACAGAAGGAGCTGTATGGTTCATTACATCTCTGCTGGCCATTTCAAACAGCTATTTAATAAAGCTCTGCATTCTTCCATTTCAATTCCTGAGCCAATTCCCTTGGAAATTACGATTGAATCTGCCTTCCATTGCCCTCTCAGAGTATAACAATTCATCTGCAGAAGAAAAGGAACCTCCTCATCTCCCTATTGATTCTTTTGCCAATTATCTTAAATCTATGTCATCTAGTTAATGACCTTCCTGTCACTGTAAACCGTTCCTACGTATTTACTTTGTCGAGACCCGCTGTAATTTTGAACATGTCGATTGAATCGTATACCTCCCTGCCCTTTGACCTCATCTGCTGGAAGCAACTCCAGTTTGTGTTTCAAAATTCTCTCTGCGTGACTCCGCAAGCCCTTCAGAGCCCAGAACACCATTCGCACCTACACTGCAGCTGCAGTTGGAGGCAACAACAAACTGACTTTGGAAAGGTCTGCAGTTACTGCAATTCACAAACAAGACTTCAACCGCTCTGTCTCATTTTTACCAATTATCTCATTACGGCACAGTGGCACTTTCTAAGAAGTGCATTCACAGAATTCCAGCCTCCTGTGGGTCATGCATTTTCGCTGCTGTCTTTTTAATTAACTTTTAATTAACTTTTTAATTAAATAAGCCTGCTAATTGTAAGTTACAGCCAACCTGCAGCAATCAGTTAATCCATTCAGCCGTCTTCGGGCTTCCCCTGTGCACGCTCAAATGTTCCTGCAGATTGCTTGAACCTATCTCAGTGGCTCCAAATCCTGGGCCTCTCTCCCTAACAGTACTGTGGGTGTCTCCTACAGCAGTGGTTCCAGAAGGCAGCTCCCGCCATGTTCTCCAGGGCAATTCGGGATGGGCAACAAATGCTGGCTCAGACAGGAATACCCACATCCCCTGAATAAATACAGTAATCTTAAACAGCCAGATGAGTGAATGCAGAGACAGTACAGCTTTGAATTGTTACCCAGGTCTAAGGATATTAACTGGAGAGGGCTCAGAACAGATTTACCAGGATGTTGCTGGGTATGGAAGGTTTGGTTATAAAGAAAGGCTGGATAGGCATTTTCTGAAGAGGGGTCCAGACCCGAAACGTCAGCTTTCCTGCTCCTCTGATGCTGCTTGGCCTGCTGTGTTCATCCAGCTCTACACCTTGTTATCTCAGATTCTCCAGCATCAGCAGTTCCCACCCTCTCTGGATAGGCTGGGACTTCTTTCACGGGAGTGAAAGACATCGAGAGGTGACCTTACACTGGCTTATAAAATCATGAGGGGTAGAGATAGGGTTAATGGTAGGTGTCTTTACCCTAGGATCAGGGATTTCAAGACTAGGGGCATATTTTTAAGGTGAGTAGAGAGATTTAAAAAAGACATGGGGGCAAATTTATTGCACAGAGAGTGGTTCGTGTGTGGAATAAACTTCTCGAGGAAGTGGTGGATGAAGACACATTTACAATGTTTTAAAGATATTTAGATAAGCACATGAATAGGAAATGTTTGGAGGAATTATGGGCCAACCGCAGGCAGGTGGGACTAGTTTAGTTTGGGATTATGTTTGGACCGAAGGGTCTGTTTCCATGCTGTATGACTCTAAGAGGTTCTTGTCAGAAGATACTGACAGGATATCCTCACATCACCCTGGAGCAGGTGGAACTTGAACCCGCATCTCCTAGCTCAGAGGTAGGGACACTTCCACTGTGCCACAAGAGCTCTCGATGGTGCACTGCACCACTAAATGGATTCACTTCCCATCTTACAAACTAGTCCATCCACCCCTCCTCCCTCAGCCCACGCCAACATACTCTCCACTGTTTCAAAAAAAAATGCAAATGGTTGGAATAAAGAAACATCAGCTGAGTTCTGGGATTGTACAGAGATGTCTTTATCAGGAGAGTCCATGGTTCTAGCCACACTCATGCAGCTGTGTGGCCACTGCAATAGTAAACAGATATAAATATACATTTCAAGGAATAATTTATCACAACAAAGTGATCAATAACTTTATAACGTGCATTACAGAGTTAGAAATCTCACAATTCTACAAAGATCTTTCCATGCTATTTGTTCTATTACAGTCCTATCCCCCAGCCTTTAATCATAGAACAATCATGTTACTTTTACAGGGTAGAGTCTGTGTATGTTGGGATTTTCAGGTTGACTGACTCTCTCAAACAAACATTTAGAGCTCACTCCAATTCCAACCCCTTCGTTCTCGGTGCACAGCGTGCAACAGACACTGTTTAGGAATTTCAAAAGGGCATCAGAAACTCAGCAGGTTTAGCAGTGTCTGAGACAGAGAAAGTAGAGTTTACATTTTGAGTCCAGATGCTGGAGGTCTGAAATTTTGAGTCCCATGTATTGGCCTTAAAACATTAACACTTTCTCTCTCCACAGACGCTGCAAGACCTGCTGAGTTTTGTTTTCATATTTCTAGCAGTCACAGTATTATACCTTAAAGAATTTTGCAGTAAAAAGAATAATTGAATTCCTTCTCACTCTCCAAGGGTGCCTGCATTGGTGGTTCCAAGCACCTTTATGGAGATAAGACATTGACTTTAAGATCTGAGAGATAGTAGGAACTGCCGATGCTGGAGTCTCAGATAACAAGGTGTAGAGCTGGATGAACACAGCAGGCCAGGCAGCATCTGAAGAGCAGCTTTAAGATCTGGATGTCTTTCTTACATTTTGGCTTTCTTTTATTTCTGCTGTTGTTTTTTTTAAACTCTGACTTTGTAACCAATGTAGCACTGGAGAATAGCAATTTTGTACACTTTTCACTGTACTCCTATATTCCTATACTTGAGTACACGTGACACTAAAATCTAATTCTAATTCATTCTTATCCTGTCACATTCCCTTAATTCCTCCCCCTCTATCTTTGCCTCCATCCTCTCCTTTTCTTCATCTCTTTCTTGCCTCTGTCCGTTTATTGGTTGTTCTTATCTATTCAATGCCTCAGTCTTTACGTTCCCAATGTTTCCCTTTTCTTTCTTGTGGTGTCATGAGCTAAGCAGTTGCTTCAGGGTAATCCCACACACCATTCTTTCAATCCTGGCCAGTGGGAGGTAACAGGTCCAAGGTTCACCTAGGCATAACACTATTGATTAATTCCTGCATTGCAATAAAAGCACTTCATTGACTATAAAGAGCTCTGGTTGGGTGTGAATGGTGCTACACAAAGGCAATTTCTTTCATGCCCTCCAAATGGAGATGGTAAATGCCATGGCCTGTTAATGCTGCCAGTCAGGATGATGGGAAAGCCATTCATTGGGAGTGAGGGCAGGGCATGTACACCTGATCATGTGGTGGGGTCCCTCAACTGTTCAGGGTAAGGACATGGGTCAGAGTTGGAGTACGGTGCTCACAGACACACGGCTGCAATCTTCCTGGCTCTACAGAAGTATTACTGATCCGAGTTCACATCCCCACCCTTCCTTTGCCCATCAGTGCAGTGTCTGAATCGCCTGAAACTGTGCCCAGAGCCAAGCCAACAGCCAGATTCCACTTGGGGCACATAGCCAGATGGCAAGACTTAAATAAAGTCCATTCAGATTTGGATATGATTATCACCTTCGGCTGAACCTACACATAGCAATACAGGGGCAAGTCTTTTACCTTCTGGGTCTGCAGTGTGGCTCATCACTGTTTTCTTTATTCATTCATGGGCTGAGGGTGTCGCTGACCAGGCAGCATTTATTGCCCATCCCTAATTGCCCAGAGGGCGGTTAAGAGTCAACCCCATTGCTGTGACTCTGGAGTCACATGTAGGCCAGACCAGGCAAGGATGGCAGTTTCCTTCCCTAAAGGACATTAGTGAACCAGGTAGGTTTTTCCCCAACAATCGAAAATGGATGCATGGTTATCATTAGAATATTAATTCCAGATTTTGTTTCTTATTGAATTCAAGTTCCACCATCTGCCGTGGCGGGATTGGAACCCAGGTCTCCAGAATGTTATTTGGGTCACTGATTAACACCCACTAGGCCATCATCTCCACTGTCTTTCATAAAATCATCTGAATGGAGCTATAAAGGAGGTGAAATTCACCCCATTGGTCTGTTCCTACGTTCCCTGGAAATTTTTTTCCCACTGCATGACCTCCAAGGTTCACGTACACAGTAACTTCCGAAACCAGAATTCAAGGTGTCGACATGCACGAGATGTTGAGGTAGGTGTGCAGTGTCAGAGTAACGGTGGTTTGCTCCCAAGCAACTTGCCCTAAATTGAACCTGATGTCCTGCTATAGGGGAGGCAATGATGCAGTAGTCTAGGGGCAGCATAGTGGCTCACTGGTTAGCATTACTGCCTCGCAGCGCCAGGGACCTGGGTTTGATTCCACCCTTGGGGACTGTGTGGAGTTTGCACGTTCTCCATGTGTCTGTGTGGATTTCTTCTGGGTGCTCCCGCTTCCTCCCGTGGCCCAATGATGTGCCGCTTAGGTGGATTAGCCGTGGTAAATGCAGGGTCACGGGGATTGGGTAGAATGTGGGGTCTGGGTGGGACACTTTCGAGTGTTGGTGTGGACTTGATGGGCCAAATGGCCTGCTTCCACGCTGTAGTGATTCTACAATCGCTGTTAAAAACGCATCATGTTCACTGGTGCCCTTCAGAGCAGGGAGTCTGCTATTATGTGACTACATATCTACAGGCGTGTAGCTGATAACAGTGCGTTTGCTTGATCAGTGCCAGCCATGCCTATATGCCAAAGAATGAGAACAATCCCATTATCCATCGTTTTAACAAAGGTGTTATCTGACACGTGTTAAAACAGCAATTTGAAATGACTGCATTAACCCACTCATGACCGACTCGTCAAGAACTTCAAGACCCCTGTGTATTTAGAGCAGGGTCACTGGAGATCACTGTCTAGTTTGCACGTTCACATTGTCTTTGAAGCAGTGAAAACCTAAACTGATAAACAGGGTGGAATTACACTTCCTGCTGAGCATGGTGTGCTATGTAAAAACAGCTGAAGGTCAAAGTGCATGAGGAGATAGCTGAGCAGTCACTACACACAGCACACATGCTTTACCTGAAGCATGTTCCATTGTTGTTGCTGCTTCATCCCGAGTGGTTTCACCATAGACTCGTATAGTACAGAGGAGGCCCTTTGGCCCATCAAGTCTGCACCAACAAAAGAAAGCATCAACAAAAAAAACCTCATATTCCAGTACTAGGCCCATAGCATTGAATGATGTTGTGACATTTTGGGTGTTCAAGTACTTGTTAAAGGTTGTGAGGTTTCCTGCCTCAAATACCATCCCAGGAAGTACATTCCCATCACCCTCTGGGTGAAAATGCTTTTCCTCAAATCCCCTCTAAACTTTCTGCCTTTCGCCTTAAGATGATGCCCCCTTGTTACTGACCCTTCAACTAAAGGGAACGGCTGCTTTCTATCGACTGTCTTATATCTTACACACCTCAAATTAGGACCCCCTTCAGCCTTCTCTGTTCCGAAGAAAACAAGCTGAGCTGATGTAGCCTCCCTCCATAGCTAAAGTGCTCTATCCCAGACAACATCCTGGTAGATCTCCTCCTGTTTGATGGGCAGTTTTCAGTCAGTGGCGGTTTGCTTCTGCCTTCCACTCTCAGGGCAGAGAAAGGAACTGAACCCACATTAGTGGCATTAATCTGAATCACACATTAGCTGTCTGAGCTAAACTGTCCTCTCAGTATACATAGAGGACAACAAAATAGAACAGAATGGTGGAGACAGGTTCAGTTGAGGCATTCAAGAGGGCACTGGATAATTATTTGGACTGAAGTAGTGTGGAAGGTTATGGGGAAAAGACAGGAGACAGGCACTGGGGAATGATGATCATTTGTAGAGCTAGTACAGACACAATGGGTTACTGTAACACTTGTGTGAGAGCACTAGCAATTATACATTGCCATCCAGAATGGTGGAGAAACAGCATGTGTCTAAATATCCCCTTTTATGCAACAGTGACTGTATTACCAGGAATTTAACTCCGTTAACCTTGTGACTTCAGTTTTCCAGACAACAGCATCACATCACTCAATACAGCAAAGAGTAAACAGAGCCCAAAGAGAGTTAAGATTATAACAGATGGAACACCACGTACATTCCCTTTTGTTTATTATTATATATTTATATAGATCTTTCAAAAAATATCCTCCAATATTTCAATGTACAAGTATTGTCATTATGAGATCAGCTTTGATCAAAATTTGAAAACAAAAGAAAAATAAACCACACACACAAAGGGGCTTACGATTAACTTTTCTCATCGGGCGAAGAAAAACGGGAAGGGGTGGACCGATGTTCGATTTGCTATCACTCATTTCCTTCGCCTGGTGCTAAAAATCAAGGGGGCCCTCAAGCACCTAGTTATATCGGGACATGACCACAAGTTCCTAGTGCATGATGGGATTGTACTCCAGAGTCCCGTTCAGCGGGCTGGTTTGTAAAACCCTTCCCTCATGTGATAGTCCAAGTCCGATCCTGAACGAGACCAGGGTACAGATCCAGAGCAGGAGGTCCGAGGTATTGCCTGGTATTATAAGTGATGTTTCCACCCTTAGGACACATTGTTGGACAAGGCCAGCTGATGCTCAAACTGGTCTTCAATTGCAGCGCTGAAGGCATCACCTGAAAGGCAAGGCAAGAAGATAAATCCACAGGCCTCAAAAACCAGCCTTAAACTACAGCAAGCAGTGATGGTCAGCAAGTACATCCTCATTTAAAGCACAGTGGAAACACATCAACTCTCTCCACCAAACATCCACTGAGGCTGCCAACCAACTGATTTAACAATAACTAATTGAGGAGCTGACAAACTCTGACTCCAGCATCTGCAGTAGAGTTGACAAACTTACCTTGTTGTTTGTGTACAGGTCACTGGGATTCTGAGTTCCCGCAGCAAAATGCATTTCTTACTCTGCAGCTATGGTTAGGAACATAGAAACAGGAGTAGGCCAATCAGCCCCTTGAGCATGTTCCACCGTTCAGTGAGATCATGACTGATCTGTGGCCTAAATCCATACACCCGCCTTTGGCCCATATCCCTTTATACCTTTGCTCAGCAAAAGTTTATTTATCTCAGATTTAAAACCAACAACAATTCTGACATCTATTGTCGTTTGTGGAAGAGAGTTCCAAACCTCTCCCATCCTTTGTGTGTGGAAGTGCTTCCTAACATCTCTCCTGTACAGTCTGGCCCTAATTCTCAGACTATGCTCCTAGTTTTAGAATTCCCAACCAGTGGAAAAAGTTTACTTTTATCTACACAGTGTTTTTCCTGTCAATATTGTGAAGGCTTTGATCAGGTCTTCCCTTAACCTTCTAAATTACACAGAAAACAGGCCTATTTTGTAAAATCTCTCCTCATAATATAACTCCAGGCATCATTCCCGTAAGCCTACATTGTACTCCCTCCAAGAATCTATCCTTCCTGAGGTGCAGTGCCCAGATCAGCTCACAGTGCTCCAAGTGAATTCTAACCAGAGTGTTGTATAACTGCAGCGTAACTTCTGCATCCTTGTATTCCAGTCCTCTAGATATAAAGTCCAGCATTCCATTAGCTTCCTTGATTATTTTCTGCACCTGTATGTGACATTTTTAAGAGCTGTGTACCTGATCCCCAAGTCATTTTGGACGTCCACTGTATTTAACTTCAATCCATTAGAAAGATGGAGATGGTCAAGGCTGTAATGTCCTCTCGATCACACCGCTGACCAGTAATCTCTCCCACGCTCACTGGTGTGAATTGGAAGCGTTTGCAGATTGACAATCTATCCATTACTGCAGAATTGTTACAGTGTAAAAGAAGACCAGTTGGCCCATCATGGCGGTGCTAGCTGTCTGAGCATTTTAATTTAAGGGTAATCTCCTGCATTACGAATGCACCTTCTTTATCCACCAAGTCCTGGAGTGGGACTTGAATCTGGAGCTTCAAGATCAGAGACAGGGACACTACTCAGTGTACCTTGAGACATTCACACAGTATTAAAGGAGATGAAACCCAAAGGGGGTTAATGGAGTTACTATATAAATCAACCATAATCTCACAGAATGACAGATAAAGTTGAATGGTCTCCTCATGTTCTTTCAGTCCTTTGTAACTATCATAGAATCCCTACAGTGGGGAAACAGGCCATTCAACCCATTGAGTCCACACTGACCCTCCAAAGAGCATTCCTACCCAGACCCAACCTCCTACCCTAACCTATCTCCATAACCCCATAACCAATCCACCTAACCTGCACATCTTTGAACTGTGGGAGGAATCCAGAGCACCCAGAGGGTACCCACAGAGACACAGGGAGACTGTGCAAACTCTCCACAGTCACCTGAGGGTGGAATTGAATGTGGGTCCCTGGTGCTGTGAGGCAGCAGTGCTACCCTTCGGTCTCTTTTCTCTCTCTCTCTCTCTCTCTTTAACAGGAATTGACAGATCCTGTATTTGAAGTAAACGCAACTCTGAAACAAAAGCTGAGAGTGCTGGAGAAATGCAATTCTGACAAAGGATTCTGAATGTTAACTCTGTTTCTCTCTCCATAGATGCTGCCAGTTCTGCTGTGTTTCTCCAGCACTTTCTGCTTTTGTTTCTGTATTTGAAGTCCCCGAGCCCAATTCTTCCCCAGTCCAATACACTTTACCCTGTAATTTGGCCTCTCTCTGTGTGGTCTGAATCCACAACTTTCTGGCTTCAGTGACAAGACTGTACTCACTAAGCACTTCCAAACCCTGTCACGTTTCTCCCGAGTGTGGGGCCTGTGATAGGTTGGATCTATTCCAGGGTCCAATGCAGATTTGCCCAGCACTCAGCTTGCCCACAGAATGGGGAGTGGGCAGCACCTCCCATCTCAATGATATTTGCAGAACAGTGCCTCAGGCTACTAGATATCGCCTTTCCAGTTTATCAACCCAACCATCTTTCAATTACTGCATCATGCTGTGACCTGAGCTCACTTAGAGAAACTGGAGATAATCGTTTCCAATATTCCGATGCGGTATTCTATATCTGTAACTGGACCCGATTAAATCTCATTCTGACTGTAATCAGAGTCAATCGCTGAATGCAGCCTGATTAATATTAAATGGGTTGACTCTGATTTGTGAGATAACAGCTGTTTTTAACCACCAGCAACCAACTTCCTGCCTGAAAACTGAACATCACAAAAGGAAGAGAGATAACAAGGTGTGCTGGATGAACACAGCAGGCCAAGCAGCTACTATCTCATCACAAAAAGAAGACTTGCATTATAATGGTGCCCTTCACAACTCACAGCGCATTACAGCTAATGAGCTGGGTTTTTTTCTGACGTGTAGTCACTGCTGTAATGTAGGAATTAGTTGTAGAACAGGAAGGGGTAGGCTGTAGGAGAGCAGTATTGAGAGGGGGACTGTATAGTCAGGAGCATTTGTGTGGCCGCAAGCAAGACTCCAGGATAGTATGTTGTCTCCCTGCTGCTAGAGTCAAGGATATCTCTGAGTGGGTACAGGTTATTCTGAAGGGGAAAGAATGAGCAGCCAGAGGTCATGGTCCATAATGACATGGGCAGGAAGAGAGATGGGCTCCTGCAAAAGAGAATTTAGGGAGTTAGGTAGGAAGTTGAGAAGGAGGAGCTCTAAGATTGTAATCTCAGCATTACTTTATAATACAGTTGAATGTGTGGCTTAAACAGCTGGTGTAGGAGGGAGGGCTTCAGATATCTGGATCATTGGGATCTCTTCCAGGGCAAGTGGGACCTGTATGAGAAGGAATGGGTTGTACCTAAACCCAATGTCCTGGCAGGAAGGTTTGCTAGTGTCACTTGGGAGATTTTCAGCTAATGTGGGGCAAGGGTGGGAACCAGATTAATAGGTCAGCATTGCAGAGTGCTTGAGGAGAAGGTAGAGGTTAAGTGAATCTAAAACCAACAACAGGCAGGGCCAGGTGGGACTGGCGGTCTGAAGTGTATTTACTTTAATGCAAGGAATATAACAGGTAAGGCAGATGAGCTTACAGCCTGGAATAGTACATGGAACTACAATGTTGTAGCCATTACAGAAACTTGGTTGAGAGAAGGGCAGGACTGGCCGTTCAATCTTGCAGGGATTAGTGTTTCATGTGCATTACAAAGGGAAGAAAAGGAATTGGGGAATTGCATTACTGAAGCCACAGAGAATGCCACAGCTGCACTAAGAGAGGACATCTTGGAGGGTTTAATCAGTGAGGCCTTATGGATAGACTCTTGAATAAGAGAAGTGCAATCACTATGATGGGGTTAAGTTTTGGCCTCCAAATAGCCAGCAGAAGATAGAGGAACAGATATGTTGGTAGGTCATGGAGAGATGTAAAAACAACAGGGTTGTTGTAGTGGGTGATTTTAACTGCCCCAGTACTGGGTCTCCTTTAATGCCAGCTGCTTAGATGGGGCAGAATTTGTTAGATGCATCCTGGAGGGTTTCTTGAAACAGTATGTAGATAGTCCAACTAGAGAAGGGGCCATTATTGGATTTTGTATTGGGGAATGAGCCTGGCCTGGTGATTGATCTTTCAGTGGCAGGGGTGGGGCATTTTGGGAACAGTGATCATAATTCTGTAAGTTTTAAGTTACTTATGGATAAGGATAAGATTGGTCCTCGGTGGAAGTGCTAAATTGTGCGAAGGCAATACAACAGTATTAGGCAGGAACTGGAGAAATTAGACTGGGGGCTGTGGTCAAGCCATATCTGAATATGGGAATCTTTTAGTTGATCAGAGTTCAGGACCAGCATATTCCTGTGAAGATGAAAGATCAGGACAGCAAGATTCAGGAACCCTGGATGACAAAATATATTGAAAGTGTAGTCAAAAAGAAAAAGGAAGCATATGTAGGGTTTAGGAAACTGAAATCAGATGAGGCACTTGTGGAATATAAAGGAAGCAGGAAAGAACTTAAACAAGGAATTAGGAGGCCTAGAAGGGGCAATGAGAGGTCCTCAGCAAACAATATTAAGAAGAATCCGAAAGCGTACATTAGGAACAAGAGGGTAGCTATGGAAAGGGTAAGTCCACTCAAGGACAAAGGAGGGAATTTATGTGTGTAAGTTAGTGAGGTCTTTAATGAGTATTTCACATCAAGATCCACTAAGGAGAAGGACATGGGTGATGGTAAGATTAGGGAGGGGGGTAAGTTGATATTCTGGGGTATGCTGATATTAAGAAGGAGAAGATGTTAGTATCTTGAAAAACATCAAGGTAGATAAGTCCCCAGGGCCTGATGGGATCTATCCCAGGATAACGAGGGAGGTAAGGGAGGAGATTGCTGGGGCCTTGACAGAGATCTTTCCTTCCTCCTTAGCCACAAGCAAGGTCCCAGATGACTGGAACAATAGCCAATACTGTTCCATTGTTTAAGAAGGCAACAGGGATAATCCAGGAGATTGTAGGCCAGTAAGCCTTACGCCAGCAGTAGAGAAAATATTGAGAGGATTCTTAGGGATGGGGTACATTTGCATTTGGAGAAGAATGGACTTATTAGGGATAGTCAGCATGACTTTATGTCAGAGAAGTCTTGTCTCATAAAAATTTGTATTTTTTGAGGAAGTGACAAAGATGATTGAGGGTAGGGCAGTGGATGTTGACTTTACTAAAGCATTCGACAAGGTCCCTCATGGTCTGCTGGCCTAGAAGATTAAGGCACATAATAAGTTGGTAAGTTGGATACAAAATGGACTGGAGGTCTACAACCAGTAGTGACAAGTGGCAATGTAGTTTGGTCCAGACAAGGGTGAGGTGATGCATTTTAATCATAGAATCCCTACAGTGTGGAAACTGGCCCTTCAGCCCAAACTGACCCTCAGAGTATCCCACCCAGACATATTCCCCTTTAACCCACCTAATCTACACATCCCTGAACACTACAGGCAATTTAGCAAGGTTAATCCACCTAGCCTGCACATCTTTGGACTGTGGGAGGAAACCGGAGCACCCAGAGGAAACCCACGCAGACACAGGGAGAATGTGCAAACTCCACACAGACAGTCGCCTGAGGCTGGAATCGAACCCGGGTCCCTGGTGCTGTGAGGCACTCAGCCACCGTGCTGCCCCAAAGGGCAGTCAAAGGCAAGAGGAAAGTATACAGTAAATGGCAGGACCCTTAGGAGCATTGATATACAGAGGGATCTTGGGGTCCAAGTCCATTGCTCCTTGAAAGTGGCAACACATGTCGAAAAGGTGGTAATGAAGGCTTACGGCATGCTTGTTGTCATTGGTCAGGGCAAGTCATGTGACAGCTGTATAAGACTTTAGATAGGTCATGTTTGGAGTATTATATGCAGTTCTGGTTGTCACACTAGAGGAAGGATGTGGGGCTTTGGAGAGGGTGCAAAAGAGATTTACCAGGATGTTGCTTGATTAGAGTGCATTAGCTATAAGGAGAGGTTGGATAAACTTGGATTGTTTTTGCTAGAGCTTCAGAGGCTGAGGGGCAACCTGATGGATGCATCTAAAATTATGATAGGCATGGACAGGGTGGATGGTTAGAGTCATTTTCCCAGGCTGGAAATGTCCAATACTAGGAAGCATAGGTTTAGTGAGGCAAGCCTTTTACACAGAGTGTGCTAGGTACCTAGTTGCCCAGGGGACATGGTAGAAGCAGATATGATAGCAACTTTTAAGAGGCCTTTCAACAGATACATGAACAGGCAGAGATTAGAGAGATATGGACCATGTGCAGACAGATGGGATTAGTTTAGAATGGCATCATAAGTCATGGACATGGTGGGCTGAAGGGCCTGTTTGTATGCTCTACTGTTCTATGTTCTAGTGACAGCCAATTTACACACAGACACTGATAAACAGCTGTGAGACCATCATTTCTTTTTAAAGTGTTGTTGATGAAGGGGTGAGTATTGGCATGGACACCACTCCCCTGATCTTCGTTGAAACAGAAGCCATGAGGTGTTTTTTTTAATTCATTCACAGGATGAGGGCATTGCTGGCTAGGCAGCATTTATTGCCCATCCCTAATTGCCCAGAGGGCAGTTAAGAGTCAACCACATTGCTGTGGGTCTGGAGTCACCCGTGAGGGGAGAGGTAACTCAGATGAACGTCTCATCCAAATGATAGTCCCTCGGACATTGCAGCCCTCCCTCATCAGTGCATTGGAGTGTCAGCCTGCATTCTGTGAGGCTCTCAGAAGAGGACTGATCGATACAGCAGGTTTGTGGGTCTGGGGAGGGAGACAAATCGAGAGCTTAGGGCCCAGGCAGCTGACAGCATAAGACACTGGAGCAGGAGTAAGCTATTCAGCCCAGCAGGTCTACTCTATCATTCGATGATCTGATAATCCTCAACTCCACTCTCCTGCCTTTTCCCCATAACCCTTGATTCCCTCTCTGATTAAAAATCATCCTCAGCCTTGAATATACTTAATGACCCAGCCTTGACAGCCCTCTGCGGTAAAGAATTTCACAAATTCAATCCCCTCTGAGCAAAGAAATTCCTCCTCATCTCTAATTTCAATGGGCAACTGCTCATTCTGAGGTGATGCCCTCTGATCCGAGACTCTCCCACAAGAGGAAATAATCTTTCCACATCCCCCCCGTCAAGTCCCCTAAGAATCTGACAGTGCTGGGGGGGCGGTAAAGGATGTCAGGATTGGAAGCATGAGGGAATCTCGGTGGATTGTAAAGTTTTATCGAACACCCAGTTGGTTTGGAAATCCTTGTTCGTATAACACTGTGGTTAACAGCATAGAGCTGATGAAGATATTCCCCATGGGTCACATACAGTGATGATTTGAGACCCAGCTCCTGATGAAGAGCTACATACCTGTGTGGCACCCATACATCCAGATCCGGAAGCCATCATATCTACATCGGCACCTCACCATGTTGTTTGAGAAATCCGACTCAGCCACCTCTGCATTGGGATTGATGTGGACCTGGGTGAAGCAAAGAGATGAAAGTTGAGGACATTTCCAGAAAGGAGCTAATTGGGAGTTCTTAGAAGGGGAGACAGGAAGTTCACGTGTTTCTGAAACACAACAGAGTACCAGCAATGAGCTCTCCATCTGTGATAGGCCTGAAAGGGGACAGCGATGGTGGTGCAGGATTGTCCAGTGGATTACAGAGAAAGGGGTACTATCCAATTACCCACACTTCCCAAATGTTACCCTTTGCTCCTCCTCCACCCTCATCTGCTGCTGCTTTGTTAGCTCTGAGCTCTATATTCCAGTGCATCCTTCACTCTGTCTAGTGTATGGAAATTCCAGAGTGTTCCTGTTCCCTGCTGCTCACCCGCTATCCCGCTCACTCCTGTCTTCATTGGCCGCTTCCTAATACATTCAAACCAAAATCCTTCAGTTGCACAGAATCCCACAGAACTACAGCAAGGAAACAGGCCCACTCTGGCCCACTCAAACTATGCTGGCATTTATAATCCACGTGAGCCTCCTCTGACGTGACGTCATCTCGCCATATCCACGGATATTTTAATTTACTTCCACCATTTGTCTTTGCCCATCTTCCCCTTAAATGCACCTATTCACCTCAAACCCTGTAAGTGGTAGTGAGCCGGGGGCAGTTAGTTCAGGTGACTGGATGGCTGGTCTGTGATTGCAGTGACTCTAACAGAGTGAGTTCAATGTCTGTACTGACTGAGGTTACTGTGAATGTTCTGTCTCCTCCACCTCTCCCTTCACCCGAGGTGGGGTGACCCTCAGGCTAAACTATCATCAGTTTTGTGTGTCTCTCTCCTGACACAGCTTTACCCTTTTTAGCAAAGTCACATATTCTCACCACTTTAGAAAAGAAGGGGCGGGATATTTCCATTTTTGGTTTTGCATGTTCCCCCCAAAATGGAAACACCTTCTCTCCGCTGACCTGCAGAAACCGTCTCATGGTTGTAGAGGACACCTGAGCTCACCGCTCAGCCCATTACTGAGGAAAGGAGTGCCCACTTTAGCTTTTCCTTAATTGCTCATTTCAGAGAATTCAATTCTTCACCTGCGACTCTCTCCACACCCCTCACTGTCCTCAGGAATCCCTACAGTCCTCACTCTCTTTGCTTCCTCCATCTCAACAAAGGAAGTCCAGTTTTCATCACCTGTGCTTTACTCCCAGCACTGCCATCCTACTGCCCCTACCTTGGAAAACCCTTTCTGGCTCCTCAACCATGCTTCCACATTCTGTGAACAAATAATTAAAAAACATATCATGTCACCCCTCCTACTTTAACTTTTTTTTTAAATAGAATCCCAACAGTGCAGAAAGACACCATTTGGCCCATTGAGCCTTACTGACCCTCTGAAGGGCACTCCTTCGTATCCCCATTACCCTACTTTCCCCATGGCTAATCCACCTAGACCGCACATCCTAAGAGACTATGGGAAATTTAGCATGGCCTGTCCACCTAACCTGAACATCTTTGGATGTTCTGAGGAAGGGTCACCGGACCCGAAATGTTAACTCTGATTTTTTTTCCTTCACAGATGCTGCCAGACCTGCTGAGCTTTTCCAGCAACTTCTGTTTTTGTTCCTGCACATCTTTGGACTGTGGGAGGAAACCGGAGCACCTGAAGGAAACCCACGCAGACACGGGGAGAATGTGTAAACTCCACACAGACAGTTGAACCTGGGTCCCTGTGAGGCAGCAGTGCTAACCACTGAGCCATCCTTTGTGCCCCTACTAAGGGAGAAAGATACACGGAACATTCTTATATGGTACACTATTGTGGATATTGCAAATTAAGAAAGTCACTTGGTTTCCATACCTGAAAGACATAGTTTCCTGGCTTAACGTCAGTAATATCTATCCACTGACAGTCAATGTCATGGCGGTAGAGATCCCAGCAGCCCACAGTAACACCTTGCTCCCCAAAGTTGGCGCAGGCATATCGCTTGTAGATGCCTAGTGGGAAGATGCAGAGAGAAAGGGGTTCAACTGGAAAATCACACAGGGGATGCAAGAAGATCAACTCACCCCATTGTCACTGCTCCCAACGTACCTGATGAAAATGGAGCGGAGAACTACATCAATAGTCGAATAGTCTTTGCTAGGGCTCCCAAGCTGCAGAGCGCAGCTCCGAAGGAGATCACAGGAAAGGCCTTTGGGATTGTAAGTTTGAGGATAGAAATGGCAGTGTCGAGGTTGGACAACTGTGAGGGGTGTTTAAGTCTTTGGGTCCTTTCCTCAGCTGGGGGCTATGGTTTAATTACCTGTACCCCAAGGCTCTAGCCTACCTACAGTCTGTAAAATGCTGAGCCTTTCTTTCCTTCAGGACAAAAGCAACTATCTTAATAACCTCCACCCCTGCCCCGCCACCCAATCCCCTCCTGATCTGCACCTACCCTGCACCCCTCCCAACTCAACAACCTTAATAAAAACCGAAAGAACTGTAATTCAGGAACAAAAACAGAAGTTTGCTGGAAAAGCTCAGCAGGTCTGGCAGCATCTGTGAAGAAAAAAAAAATCAAAGTTAACATTTCGGGTCCGGTGACCCTTCCTCAGAATGATCCCTTCCTCGGCTCTGAGGAAGGGTCACCGGACCCGAAACGTTAACTCTGATTTGTTCCTTCACAAATGCTGCCAGAGCTGCTGAGCTTTTCCAGCAACTTCTGCTTTTGTTCCTGTCTATAACCTTACTCTGAGCATCCCCCAAACCCCACTCTGGGGTCACACTGAGGGAGTGCTGCACTAGCCAACACTGATAACTCAGTAAACACCTCGAAATGGGTTCCCTAGACATGATGACTGGAGCTGGATGTGGAAAGGACATTTCCTCTTGTGGGCGAGTCCAGATCTAGAGGGTTAACAGTTTAAAAATCAGGGGTTTGCTCTTTCAGGGCAGCGATGAGAAGAAATCATTTCCTCTCAAAGGATTGTGTTGGAGCTCTGGAACTCTTTATTGAAGAAGGCAGAAGGGCTGGTGTCGCTGAATACTTCCAAGATAGAGAGGGATTAGTTCTTGTTAGGCATGGGAGTTGGTGTCATCGGGTAGTTGATGGAAATTATGGAATTTGGAACACAAACAAATCAGCCACGATCTTATCGAAAGGCAGTGCTGGAAGGGCTGAATGGCCTCCTCTCTGGCCCCTTGTTCAGATATTTGTATCACTGTTGTTTGTGGGAACTTTCTGTGGACAGACTGGTTTCCCAACCTTATAACAGTGCTGGCAGTTCAGGAGTACGTCTGTACAGTGTTTGAGGATTTCCTGAGGCCTTTCTTGATATCAGAAGCACGTTAGGGGTGGTTTTCCCGTGGTGTTTGTGTAGATTTCTAATCATTATGTCAGTATCTGATTTTGCAGCATCACCATATGTGAGGTCACAACAAAGAGTTCCGGAAGGATTCTGACCTGACGCAGACAAAGGGTTAATATTTTCAGGTCTTTGCTGTTTCCATTAGGCTTCACTGAATCAGAATTACACAGTACAGGACAAACCCTTCAGCCCATCACGTCTGTACTGCTAAAAATAAGCTACTACTGCACTAGCCCCGATTTCCTGCTCTAGGTTCAAAGCCTTGGATGTCATGATATTTCAAGTGCTCATCCCAGTACTTTTTAAAGGTTGAGTTTATCAGCCTCAACAACCCTCCAAGGGCAGCGCATACCAGACCCCCACCACCCTCTGGGTGAAAATATTTTTCCCAAATCCCCTGTAAATCTCCCACTTTCCACCTTAAAGGGCGTGCCCCATTGTTACAGACCCTTCAACTAAGGAGAACAGCTGCTTCCTATCCTCCCCGTCCACATCCTTCATAATCTCATACGCCTCAATCAGGTCCCCCCTCAGCCTTCTCTGCTCCAAAGAAACCAAGCCAAGCTTATCCAGCCTCTCTAGGTAGCTAAGATGTTCCATCCTGGGCAACGTCCTGGTGAATCTCATCGGCACTCCCTCCAGTGCCATCACATCCTTCTGGTAGTGCTGCTGAGTTTTGGCCAAGGTCTGGGGTGGGATCTGATCGAGGCTCCTATTTCCCAGTCTGAGCAGAAGGCTACTTCCACCCAGAAAGCACAGCCTCAGGGGAGCCAACAAACTCCATTCATCCGACCATTGTTACCGAACTCGGATTCCCATTTCCTCAGGCAATCCTTCCACCCCAAACTTTGACACAAGCACAGATGGACTAGAAAGCTGCTTCAGTAATATCATAATCGATAATCCCCAAACACTCGGGGAATGGTTGCTATAGTTGCAATCTTCCAATTAATATTCAGGCTGTTCTCAATATCGTATTTTCCCAAGTTCACTGGGTAATAGGGAAGGAAATCTGCCATCCTTACCTGTCAGGCCTACAGCAATGCAGTTATCTGTGAAACGGCTTGGCAAACCACTCAGTTGTCCCAATCTGCTCCAGCAAAGGATGATTACTGTGGCAGTGCCTTCACCATAAGCAGAGCTCACCAGTACCTTCTCAAAGGTAAATGAGAAGGGGTAATAAAGGCTGGTGTAGCCAGCAATGCCCAGATCCCATGAGTGAATCAAAGACATAATTAGCCACTAGAAACAAATTCTCCTGACTTTCTTCAACATAGGGCCATGGAGGTGGCCTTATCATTGGCAGACGAGATGTTGGTTTAACATTACATTTGAAAAATGATGCTTCCAACTGAGCAGTATTTTGATTTGATTTATTGTTGTCACATGTACCTAAGTACAGTGAAAAGTTTTGTTCTGCATGCAGTACAGACAGATCATTAACATACAAGGACATACAGATCATAGGGTGACTGAACACAGCAGGGTGTACAAAGTTACGACTGCACAGGAGGTGTACAAAAGCAAGATCAACTTTAGATCAACATCAGGGGTGGCACGGTGGCTCAGTGGTTAGCACTGCTACCTCACAGTGCCAGAGACCTGGGTTTGATTCCAGCCTCGAGCGACTGTCTATGTGGAGTTTGCACATTCTCCCCGTGTCTGTGTGGGTTTCCTGCGGGTGCTCCGGTTTCCTCCCACAGTCACAAAGATGTGAAGGTTAGGTGGATTGGCCACGCTAAATTGCCCATTGTGTCGAGTGATATGTAGGTGAGAAGCATTAGCCATGGGGAATATGGGGTGGGGGAGTGGGTCAGTGTGGACTTGTTGGGCCAAATGGCCTGTTTCCACTCTGTAGGGTCTCCATGATTCTATTTGAAATTAGAGAGGTCCATTCAGCAGTCTAATAACAGCAGGGAAGCAGCTGTTCTTGAACCTGTTTGTAGGTGTGTTTAAGCTTTTGTATCTTCTGCCTGACAGAAGAGGTTGGAAAAGATTATAACCTTCAAACTGGATGTGTCAGCCTTAAGCTTTGCACTCAAGTCCTACAGCGGGATTTGAACCCAGAACCTTGCAACACTGTATGAAGAAACTCCAATTTAGTCAGGTGGAAATCAACCCTACTGTGCCCCAACAAAAACCATCCCATTTTGGAACTACCTTTATAACTTGCTCTGAATTAGCTTTGTCCTCAGCTCTTTTGTGAATATTAGTCGATGCACCAAATGTGCTCAATCTGTTTTGTGACTCCTTGAGTGGAAAAGGAGTTTTGAATTTCCAGTCACACTAACCAATTGCTAAGCCCAGAGCTCACAATCCATGAGACTACACCCATATCTCTCATCATTGTGAAGGGACATGTCTCTTTCCAAACTTATTTCCACTGAAAATGGACACAGCTCTGGCTAAACCTCCACACAGCGAGAGCTCACGCCCTCTGAGGAAGGGTCACCGGACTCGGAACGTTAACTCTGTTTATCTCTCATCTCAGATGCTGCTCGACCTGCTGAGTTTCTCCAGCAATGTTTGCTTTTGATTGAGACCTCACAACCATTGAATCCACCCTCAAGTCCGCCCACCTCCCCCCATCTCGCCCACCGTCCCTCTTCGTTCTCCAGACTTACCTCTTTCACAGTCTGAGTCTTCCAGACAGAAGCTTGCTTTATGCCCTTCTGCAACTTTGCTGCCGTTCAGGGTCAAGAGATCATAGTGAGTGAAGACCTCCATGCTGTGGTAGTGTCTGCAAAAAGAAATGGACGTCAGGTTTGTGAACAGACACACAACTGTTATCCAACGTGGCTCCAATTGCAGATCTCAGTAAGAAATGACAACCGTCCTGCCTAGAGCCAAGTTCCCTTATCTCTACATCTCTGAGCTACAACCAGAAACATAACACACCAATATGGCCAAAACCTCACTCCATGTTCCCTTAACAGTTCATTTATGCAGTGTCCCTTAGTTAGTGGGACAGGAAGTGTAACAGCAGTTAACAATGACAGGCATAAGCAGCGACTAAACAGCAGCTAACCCCTGCACATACAGCATTCTTGTTCTGTTTTGGAAATACCAGAGAGTCTTTAGGGACATTAACTAGCCAGCACAGATGGGCAACAAAACATTGTTGGAGACAGAAAACCAGCAACAAGGCAAGTTGCAATAACCCAATCTTTCAATATTGTTCCATAGATGACCTTAGATTCTGGATTGTAGACAGCATCCTGAATTTGTAGAGAAGCCAGTGACACAAAGGGACCACTGCTCAGGCGGGCTCTGAAAGTGGCAGCATGCTAGCCAATTTGGGCAGTTCACAATTTCACAGCCAACAATTTGGGGAGCACTTGCTTGATAATGCCATCACTGCAACAGACACTGAACATTATATCACTGCTCCTTAAAGGGGTCACTCCTGGTTTCTATGCTTCCAGCAAGATACTGTGAGTCCCACTAGATATAGCGTAAAGTTTCTCTGTCCTACTTTAACAAACGGCCTTAATGTCAGGACGGAGTCCACGACTACCCAGATGTGAGATTTTACCGCTCCCTTGAATTTTACTTCTCAAAGAAACCTTCGCAATCAACAGACATGCAATACATCAGTCTGAACCCTTTTCAAGCACAAACACACAGCAACATAAGGGAAAGATGACAGACTGTGGTTAGTGTAGGTCTTTAGATATATTCATTTAAATATATGTTGCAACTCAGAGAAATAAACTTCCCCTTCAAGCACAAGCAAGTGGTTGTTTTGCCAGTAGTGCTGACCGGATATGGGGTGGAAAAAGGAACTGGCCCAGTGTCAGAATCACCCTGATGCTGGATACTTTGACGTGTAAATTGCTGGCGTTGTCAACCATCTAAAATCATTTGATGTCGAAGAATGATTTTAAAGCATCAAATATCAGCAGATGATACATATTTACAAATACACTCTCATCGTTGGGTACAACACTCACAGAACACTCTATGATCCCAGTGTCACCCTTAACAAGAAACACCCCAATTGGCAAAGAAGACGCTTCTACAATGGGCACTGGGTCAGGATGAGGGAGATGGAGAAGGCAGACAGAGGAGAGGAGTTCAACTGCTTTTGTTTACTTGCTTGTGACAATGTGGGATGTGGATGTTGCTGGCATTCCATTCTTAACTGCTCTGATGAAGCTGGTGATGAGCTTCCTTCTAGAACCAGGGTAGGGGCATCCAAAACCAGAAGGCATAGATTTAAGGGGAGGGGGAGAAGAATTAAAAGGAACCTAAGGGGCAACTTTTTCACGCAGAGGGTGGTGCATGTATGGAATGTGCTGCCAGAGGAACTGGCTGGTACAATTACAACATTTAAAAGGCTTCTGAGTGGGTATAAGAATAGGAAGAGTTTAGAGCCAAATACAGGTAAATAGGACTAGATTAATTTAGGATATTTGGTCAGCATGGACGAGTTGGACCGGAGGGTCTATTTCTTTGCTCCACAGCTCTATGACTCTATAACTGCTACAATCCATGTGGCATAGGGAGCAATGTTTTAGGGAGGGAATTCCAGGATTTTGAGCCAGTGACAGTGAAGGAATAGTGATATATTCTCAAATCAGAATGGTATTGGCTTGGAAGGAAACTTGCCAGTGATGGTGTTCCCCTGAATCTGCAGCCCTTGTCCTTCTAGACAGTAGAGCTCATGGGTTTGGAAGGTGCTATCAAGAGGACCTTTGGTGGGTTACTGCAGAGCATCCTGTAGATGGTACACACTGCTGTGTCGCTGGTGAAGGGAGAGGGTGTTGATGGTGGTAAATGGGGGGGGGGGGGGGGGGTTGCCAGTCAAGCGGGCGGCTTTGTTGTGGGTGGTGTTTTAATGACCTGGTGAAGAGTTTGAGGAGAAGACATTATCATGGATCTTTTAACTCCAACACAATCTGAAGGAAGATACATAGACAACAGAAAAAGTAAAATAGTTTCAAAATGATCTGATGAACAGGGAAATGTTAACAAATAATGCAATATGACAGAAATTCTAATGTGAGTAGACAAAAGCATTGGGTGCTTTTCCCCGGGCAACATGCAAGCTAGTTTACTTAGGAGATTCTTCTAATTTCTTCATAAGTATACACCATCCTTCATCATGTTTGTGAAGGATAGATCTGTTTATAGTGGTTAGTTTTATTTGTTGGCTGGAACAGAAGCATCTAGATCTAAAGTCTGTGAAAACAGTGACCTCAGAGTCATTTTCTGAAGAAGGGTCCAGGCCCAAAACGTCAGCCTTGCTGCTCCTCTGATGCTGCTTGGCCTGCTGTGTTCATCCAGCTCTACACCTTGTTACCTCAGAGTTAACCCTCTCTTGAGGTGAGGTGCAGGAGATTCCACTGTCCAATGACCTCCTGCCCTCCTCAAACTTCCTGAAAATTTGTGGCTTCCCACGTCAGAATCTCAACCTCACTCTCCATCCAGCTTACATGGCCACTCTCTCCCCTCCTGCTGGGATCTGTGCCCCCTCACCCACCAGTTTCCCTCCCCTGAAAGCTAGTGACCTACTCTACATCAATTCTTTGTGACAATCTCTGTTTGCAGAGGCAACCTGCTATATCCTCAGCCTGTTTCAACTCTCCCTGAACCCTCTGTGTAAATATCTGCCAATGTGGTATACTGCATCCGCTGTACCCGTTGTGGCATCCTCTACATCGGGGAAACCAAGCGGAGGCTTGGGGACCGCTTTGCAGAACACCTACGCTCGGTTCGCAATAAACAACTGCACCTCCCAGTCGCGAACCATTTCAACTCCCCCTCCCATTCCTCGGACGACATGTCCATCCTGGGCCTCCTGCAGTGCCACAACGATGCCACCCGAAGGTTGCAGGAACAGCAACTCATATTCCGCTTGGGAACCCTGCAGCCCAATGGTATCAATGTGGATTTCACAAGCTTCAAAATCTCCCCTCCCCCTACCGCATCCCAAAACCAGTTCAGCTCGTCCCCGCCTCCGTAACCTGTTCTTCCTCCCACCTATCCCCTCCTCCCACCTCAAGCCGCACCTCCATCTCCTACCGACCAACCTCATCCCACCCCCTTGACCTGTCCGTCCTCCCTGGACTGACCTATCCCCTTCCTAACTCCCTACCTACACTCACCTTTACTGGCTCCATCCCCACCTCTTCGACCTGTTTGTTTCCTCTCCTCTATCCCTCTTCTATCCGCCTCCCACTCTCTCCCTATTTATTTCAGAACCCCCTTCCCCTCCCCGTTTTCTGATGAAGGGTCTAGGCCCGAAACGTCAGCCTTTCTGCTCCTATGGTGCTGCTTGGCCTGCTGTGTTCATCCAGCCCTGCACCTTGTTGCCTCTGTGTCAATAATTGGGTTGTGGTTGCTGCAAAGTACCATTCATCGCTCTGAGCTTTCTTATATCACTTTCCTGCAGTTAGCTCTCCCAATCCTGGATCCTTATTACAGAGACAGGGTTTAATAAATAAGTAGATTAACTGTGTGTGTCACTGCGATCTCAATAGTCATGGGTTCTACGCAGAAACTGGACACCGTGCAGTTCTGAACTTGTTGCTCTATAGCCTTACCATCATATGTGATGTAACGTAGTTTAACAGTTACCAAGATGTCTGACCCGAGTGTGTGTTAAGATCTTAATAACCCGCACTTCAAGAACACAGTCACAAACAGCCAAGGGGTTGCCAGGTGAGTAGGCAGGAGGGTGGCTAAGTAGAGACTCAGGGCTAAGATGATGAGCAAAAGAGTAGATTTGTGATATGAGGAAACTATTTTCTGCCTTTCTGTCCACCTCACTCTGAGGGCATTGCAAAGAGAGAGTTGGAGGTGGCCCTCATTGTTGGAACTGAACTTATTGCCCATCCTTAGTTGCCCTGGAGAAAGTGGTAGTGAGCTGCCTTTTTGTTAATTGATAGAATCCCTCAGTGTGGAAACAGGCCCTTCGGCCCAACAAGTCCACACCGACCCAACCCCCTATAACCCACCTAAGCTCCACATCCCTGAACACCACGGACAATTTCCCATGGCCAATCCACCTAACCTGCACATCTTTGGACTGTGGGAGGAAACCAGAGCACCCGGAGGAAACCCATGCAGACACGGGGAGAATGTGCAAACCCCACACAGACAGTCGCCCGTGGGTGGAATCAAACCCGGGTCCCTGGCGCTGTGAGGTAGCAGTGCTAACCACTGAGCCGCCGTGTTAAGACATTCTCTCCCTCCTCCAATGACACACAGCAGCAGAAGAAGCAGTGTGTACTATTCACAAGGTGCCCCACTGCTCTGCAGAGACATCTCTGAGCAGGAAAGATTAAAAAAAACTGCAGCAATTATCACTACACTTTGAAAGGGATGTCTTGTGTGAGCAAGAATGGAGCTGGGTCACCAATCAGCCAAGAGGTCACTGAATAGTAGAAGACACCCAAAGGCTAAGTGACTCACTGCTGTTCTTGTACAGAAAATGAGGTATAGACTCCCTACAGTGCAGAGAGAGGCCATTCAGCCCATCAAGTCTGCACCTCCAAAAAGCATTCCTCTCCGACCCACCCACCTACCCTATCCCTGTAACCATGCATTTCCCATGGCTAATCCAACTAGCCTGAACATTCCTGGACACTACGGGCAATTTCCCATGGCCAATCCAGCTAACCTGCACATCTTTGGACTGTGGGAGGAAACTAGAGCACCCGGAGGAAACCCACGCAAACACGGGGAGAATGTGCAAGATCAAGGTTGGAATCAAACCTGGTACAAAATGACACA